CGGGAACAGCCCCTCTGAGACAGACTTGTTGATAATCTCCTGCTGTCAGGTTCCACAGCCAACAACTGAGTACACGCTTATCAGACTTTATTGCAGAGCTATAGATGCATTAACAAAGTCACTGTTAGGAATGGCATCGCCCCTACAAGCATAATGGGATATAGGGTATTCGTATGCACCCCCCCCCTCCTTAGGCCAAGTGGCCACATTCCCGCGCACAGGAGAAGGAGCCCCAGGCCGTTAGGGCCAAAGCTGAGAACCGCAAGCGCTCCCACGGTTCCCCTGAATCCCAGACACTACACACCACCTGTAAGGTCATAGATAAGCAAGCATTACAGAAGGTCAGAAGGAATGCAGCAGACTTGTTACCAGTGTTCCCTCTAAGCTGAGTTAGTGTGAGCTAGCTCACAGGTTTTTAGCCTCTGGCTCACACATTTTTGTTTACACTTAGAAAGGAGGGCTCCAGAGCAGACTGATTAATGCAGCAGCCAAATCTCTTGCTCACAACCTTAATGCCCTTAGCTCACAAAGTAGAATTTCTGCTCACAAGACTCCACCGCTTAGAGGGAACATTGCTTGTTACACAGGCCAGCGAATACCCCACCCCCAACCCTTATGGCAGCATAGCTGACACCCACAAGGCACCTCGGAACCCCTCGTGGCCAGCTTTAATTAACCATGAGGGGCACGGGTCAAGGGAGCATGTGGTAGGATGTATAGTTAGGAGCAATTTGTCAAATTCCTCTATAATCCATAATGTCAGTAGAAGATGTGCTTGGAGCCTCGAGTTCGCTCACTGTATCCTTGTCAAACTGCTTTCACCATTAGGAAGTTTTCTTAATGTTTAATCAAAATCTACTGCCCTGAAAATAAAACCCATTAGATCTAGTCTTCTGAAGCAGAAAACAAAGTATTTGCCTTCTTTCATGCAGCAGCTCTTCAAGTTTTCACTTTTCCAAGTTAAATATACCTAAGTTCCTTTAACTTTTTTTTCTAAGTCTTGTTTTCCAGACCCCTAATCAGCATTGTTGCCCTCCCATGAATTTGTTCCAGTTTATCTACAGTAAAGGTAAAGGTTCCCTTGCTTGAAAGCCAGTCGAGTTCGACTCTAGGGTTGCGGTGCTCATCTCCGTTTCAAAGCCGAAGAGCCAGCGCTGTCCGAAGACGTTTCTGTGGTCATGTGGCTGGCATGACTAAACACCAAGGCGCACAGAACGCTGTTACCTACAGTTATCTACAGTACTTCAAAGGAAACCTGGGTAGTGTGGAGCAGAGTATAACTACTACTTCTTATGAATTGGATATTATTCTACCAGTGGGGACCTGCAAGAAACTTGTGGGAGTGGCTATCCCATTCCGCCCCACGTTCACTCACTTAATTCTCCCCCTACTTCTCTCAGTCTTTCACTTTTTCTCACTCTTGCCACCCCTTTTCTTACTCTCTCTCCTCCATGTCTGTCACTTTCTCTCACTTTCTGCCCCCCCACCCGATCACTATCCCTTTCTGCCCCCCATCACTCTCCCGGTCTCCTGCCTGCTTTCTCCCTCACCCAGCAGCAGGGGTGGTGGTTCTAGCTGCCCTTAGAGTTGCCAGGTGCCTTCCTCCTGCCAGCAGGGGGATTTGGGGGGCGTTCCAGGAGTGGGCGGGACATCGGTGATGCGCTAACATCACTTCCAGAAGTGACGTCATTGTGCTGGTGACGTTGGGGTGACACTCTACTTTTTGGGCAAAACTCTATGGTTAAAATGGCTACAAACCATAGAGTTTTGCCCCAAAAGTAGAGTGTCACCCCCAAGATGATGTCACTTCTGGAAGTAACATCAGTGCATTGCTGATATCGTGTGGGGACATCTGTTTGGGGTGAGGTTTCCCTTGCCTTGAGGAGGAACCTGACAAACCTGGCTGTCCACCCCCCCCCCCCCACCCCCCCGACAGCAGTAGTAGTGGCAATCTCTGTCCAGGAATCACAGGAGATCTCCCAGCTACAGAGATCAATTCCCCTTAGGGTTGCCAGCTCCAAGTTGGGAAATTCCTGGAGATTTGGAGGTGAAGCCTTGGGAGGGTGAGGTATGGGGAGGGAAGCTACCTCAGCAGGGTATAATGCCATAGAATTCACCCTCCAAAGCAGCCATTTTCTCCAAGGGAACTGATCTCTGTCATCTGGAGATCAATTATAATTTATTTATTTATTCTTCACATTTGTACCCTGCCCTCCCAGCCGAAGCCGGCTCAGGGCACCTTACATAAAATTTCAGATGATCTTCAGCCCTCACCTGGAGGTTGGCAACACTAGTGCCCCTGGAGACCAAATGGCTATTTTGGAGGGTGGAATTGATGGCATTATACCCTTCTGAAGTCCCTCCCCTCCACAAACCCCACCCTCCCCAGACTCCACCCCTCAAATCTCCAGGGATTTCCTAACCTGGAATTGGCAGCACAATCTCCTTCCCATCCAACAGCCAGCATACCTTTATCTGCCCCTCTGTCTTCAGTTTTCTGTCTTCTCCCCCCCTGCAGTCTCTACCTAGGCAAACTACAGCTTTTCTCTATGGTGAAGACTAAAGCAGTTTCTTGTCTCCCCTTTTTTATCCACACAACAACCCTATGAGGTAGATTAGGCTGAAAAGTATATGGTTGGTCCAAAAACCACCCAGTAAGCTTCCACAGTGAGATGGGGATTTGAACCTGACTCTCCCAGACCCTTCTTTGAATCTTTGCTACACCACACTAGCTTTCATAGGGTGGCTGCTGTTGAACAGTAGCAAGTAGACAGGCCTAGTTGAGCCATGCAAGTCAGATGGTATGAAGTCACTCAGAGGCTGCTGTGAGTCCTTGGGTTGCCAGCCTCCAGTGGGGACTTGGATATCCCCAGAATCACAGCCAAACTCCATATAACAGATGTGCCAGAGGATCCTCTGATGTTTGGGGCTCCAATCAGCAGCCAGCCAGCTGCCTAGCAAGGGAAGCCCCACCCACAAAGAGACATGTTGATATGGTCAGTGTGATGATGTCACATGGAAGTGATGTAATCACGCTGGGGACATCGTGTGTCTTAAATTACCTCACAGGGTTTTTATGACGGTAAAATGGAGGAGAGGACAACTCTAAGCTCCTTGGAGAAAGGGTGGAATGAAAATGTAATAATAAATATAATTTAAAATAAATTTAAAAGCATTTATACTAAAGCACAGGAAAAAAAGCTAATCTATTGAACATATTCAAAATTAAGGAATTAAATCCAACACAAAGAAATATGGAAATTTGCAGGACAAACCAGACTTCCAATGTAGTTATATCTTATTATTATTGAACTTGTGTATCTAAAACTACAAAGAATCTACTGCTTGGCTTTATTAAAAGATTTTTTAAAAAATCTTCTTATAACTATTACTGGTACTTGGGGAACATCAGTCCGGGAGACGCCCACTTGAATGTGGGGTACCTTAGGGCGCAGTTCTGTCCCGATGTTGTTTAACATCTTTATGCTCCTCCTTGCCCAGGTGGCTTGGAGGTATGGGCTGGGTTGCCATCAGTACGCTGATGACACCCAGCTCTATCTGATGTTGGGCGGTCGGTCAGACTCAGACCGGAAGACCTGGACCGGAAGACCTGGACCAGGCGTTACAGGCCATGGCTGGTTGGCTTCAGCTGAACCGGTTGAAACTGAATCCGGCGAAGACGGAGGTCCTGTGCCTGAGTCGTGGCAGTTCAGGGTTGGGGGTCCTGCTCCTGGCCTTCAATGGGGCTCCTTTGGTGCCAGCGTCTAGGGTTAGGAGTTTGGGGGTGCTCCTGGATTCCTCCCTGACGATGGAGGCCCAGGTAGCAGCCACTGCGAAATCGGCTTTCTATCATCTTTGGCTGGTTCGGCAGTTGGTTCCCTTCCTTGACCGCTGTGACCTGGCTGCAGTGATCCATGTGACGGTCACCTCAAGATTGGACTACTTTAACACTCTCTACATGGGGCTGCCCTTGTCCCAAATCCGGAAGCTACAGCTGGTGCAGAATGCTGTGGGCCAGGCTGTTGATGGATCTCCCACATCGGGAGCACATTCAGCCTGTGCTTAGGTTACTGCACTGGCTGCCAATAGCATATCGGATTCGCTTCAAGGTGCTGGTGCTTACCTTTAAAGCCCTATATGGACAGGGTCTGGCCTACCTGAGGGACTGCCTTTCCCCATATATACCCCAGTGGGCACTACGGTCAGGGGCGCGACATCGCTTAATTGTTCCGGTCTCCAAGGATGCAAGGCTCACCATTACCAGGGCCAGGGCCTTCTTAGTGGCGGCTCCTTACTGGTGGAATGAACTCATGGAAGAGGTCAGGGCCCTGCAGGACCTCTTGCAGTTCCGCGGGGCCTGTAAAACGGAGCTCTTCCGCCAGGCTTTCAATTTTAAAATGCTTCACTCTCATAATTTTGGTAAAGTATATAAGGAAGTCAATGCACAACTGAAAGCATGGGATAAACTGAAGTTATCATGGTCAGACAGAATGTATCTAACCAAAAGTTTTATTTTACCAAATCCAGGTGGACTAATTATCAGATTTCAATATAGTAATCTACGGTTGGAAGTTGACACTGTTTAAGAAAGTGACAAATGGTTTGAAATATATATATATCCCTCTTTCCTGCTATATAGCCTTTGGTTGTACTTATTTTTGAAACAATACAAAACCTGTTTAGCCAAGGCAAAAGCAGAAAGTGTAGATTTGAACCCTTATCAATTTCCAGCCTGTCCATATATCTTTAACTTCTTTGGATAACACTCCAGACAACATACAGCATCATTATTTAGGGACACTTCATTTGCTACTTCCTGTCTATTAACATTAAGCACCAGAGTGACCTGTACAAACAGAACCCTTCCTTGTGTTAGAACCCTGCCAGTAACAGAAATGACAGGCAGGGGTCTCTCTTGGGAGCCACAAAGAAAACATAGTGATGCTACAATACCAACTACACTATTTGCATAATGTTTTTCATTTCAGACCTACACATACCTGAAAGCCTTGGATTCTTGCCAAATATTCCAGCTGTTTTGAAGGCTGCACTGTAGAACAAGGGGAAGTAAGTGACATTCCTTTTAGACCTATGGCTTCAGCAGTTGGGGATGTTCCATTCATAAGTAGTTCCCTGGCAATCGTAGCTGTACTATTAGTGGCAGGAGATATGCTGAAGAAACAACTAGAAGTTTGGCTCATTTCCTTGGATGACATATAGTTTACAGTGGTACCAGGGGATGCTTTGTTGCGGCTGGCTTCCATCTCTTGATAAACATCAGGAGAGAGATGGAGAATTCCCTTTGGCGCTGAAAACAAAGCAAACATCATTCTTATTATACCTATAATTGTTTAAATGTTACCAAACAAAACATTGGGTCAGATCCATTAGAGAAACTTGTGGAAGGAGCTAAAAGGGCAGATATCTCCCCACCTTCCTGTTTCCTAAACAGCTAGCTGTTTGTCTTCAAACTCTTCTCTGATGTTTGGGGAGCCTCGGAAACAAAATGTACCATGGGACAGAGTGCTGCAGCAACAAGGGGGAAAGGTAAAATCACCTCCTCCTCTGCTAATGCAAGTCGTTAGCAGAAGTGTCCTGTCTAATACTCACTTTGTTTGCAAGGCTCTCCCTTCCCTCAGAGAGGTAAAAAGGTAAAGGTTCCCTTGCTCGAAAGCCAGTTGAGTCCTACTCTAGGGTTGCGGTGCTCATCTCCGTTTCAAAGCTGAAGAGCCAGCGCTGTCCGAAGACGTTTCCATGGTCATGTGGCCAGCATGACTAAACACCAAGGCGCACGGAATGCTGTTACCTTCCCACTGAAGTGGTACCTATTTATCTACTTGCAATTTCTTGCTTTCGAACTGCTAGGTTGACAGGAGCTGGAACTAGAGACGAGAGCTCACTCCATCATGCGGCAACTCGGGTCTTGAACTGCTGAACTACTGACCTTCCACAGCCTGCAGTTCAGCATCTTAACCACTTGAGCCACCGCAGCTCCAGACTGCTTGGGTAAGGGAAGGCAGGGACAGATTTGGTCTGAAAACAACTTCTGCAAGGTTTTCAACTAGATCCAATTCCAATGCTGTTTAGAGAAGTCATATCTGAATTTCCCCCCTTTACAATCAATTCTATTTTCATTGCCAAACTTCATCATCACCATTATACTGGAACAGCTACCTTTTGCTTATATAGGATAATAAGAGCATCTTTAATATTAATCATCACTTAAAAACAGATTTTTTTAAAAGCAGGGACTAGTGTACAGATTAATACCAATATCCCTGATCTATATGCATCCTGTCCTAGAAACTAGATGGATAGCTCATAGCTCAGAAGTAAGGAACATGCTTTGTTTAAGATCTCAGGTTTAGTCCCTTGTATATTCATTTTAAAAGGTCTTAGATAGCAGAACTGGGAAATATCTAAGATTCTGGAAAGCAACTAACCAAGCAGACAATACAGGGCTTGATGGCGCCATCTTACTCAGTATAAGATAATTTCATATATTCATTCTGGCAATATATGTATACTATTAACAGCATATTAGAGCCATAGTTCAGTGGCAGAAAAGGTGCATAACATGCATAAGGTGTGACAGCTGGTGTCTTGATTAGACTGTGCAAACTGAGCTGGATTCAAACCCTACTCAGCTATGAAGCTTACTTGATGACCCTGGGCTAGCCGCTCTCTTTCAGACTAATTTACATAGGATTGCTGTGATCAGAGGTCATTTCGTGGGGGAACGCGGGGGATCGCAGTTCCCCCGGGTGAGGTGCAGGGGGCAGGGCACACGAAGCCCCGCCCCCTTCTTCCGGCAGCCCCCTGCTTCCAGCCTCATTCTGTTGCAGAAGGAGGAAGAAGCAGGAGGATAAGTTGGCATCCTCCCCCTCTGCCTGGCCAAGGCCACTCCACGTGGCCTCCGCAAGGACTCCCAGCCCCATCCAGGAGCTTCCCCGAGGTAGCTGTGTTAGTCTGTTGCTGCAAAACAGTCCAAGAGTTCAAATAGCACCTTTAAGACTAACCTTTAAGACTAAGACTAACTGAGTGGTGGGTGTGGTCTTATGACACACTTCCGGTGATGGCAGGGGGTGTGGCATATGCTAATGAGTTATGCTAATGAGTTCCCCTAGCTCTTTTTCTACGAAACGACCCCTGGCTGTGATGATAGGATGGGGAGGAGGAGAACCTTGAGCTTCTTGCAAGAAGGACAGAATAAAGATGTCACAGATAGCTAGACAGAACGAAATAAGGTGACAGGTGTGAAAGGATACCAGGTCAGTAATAGGAACAGGAAAGACTTCTGCCTGAAGCCTTAGAGAGCTACTGCCAGTCAAAGGACACAGCACTGAGCATAATGTGTAAGCACAAAAGCCTGGTAGTAGGTGGGTCTGTATTTGTGTTGCGGGCCAGGGTAAGAGCCAGCACAGTGTAGTGGTTAAGAGCAGCAGACTCTAATCTGGAGAGCCAGTTTGATTCCCCACTCCTCCACATGAAGCCTGGGGGTGACCTTAGGCCAGTCACAATTCTCTCAGCCCTACCTGCCTCACAAGGTGCCTGTTGTGGGGAGGAGAAGCAAAGGCCATAATGGTAAGGTGCTTTGAGAAAACCAAGGTATAGAAACCAACAGCTCGTCTTCTGTCAGAGGACTTTACAGAGTCAGAAGATACTATTTTCTGGATAACTTTTCATCATACATGGTTGAGTTCAATGTTAAGAACCTGAGGTGCAGGATTTAGGTTGGAAGCCACATCGTATTCAATACACTGGTTTAATTAAACAAATAACTTTAATTGGTGGCCTTACACTCACAACTATGAAGCAGCTATCTAAATTCTGTTTTGTGACAGCGGGATGGACTGCAGTGATATGTGACAGATATATGATTTCTACTGGCCTATTTGCAGACATAAGCAAAAGACAATGCCAAATCAAGGAAGTTGCAAGTGCTCACATTTCCTTTGAATATTGTCTAATGAAAATCTAATTTTCATCAAAAACGCTTTATATTTATAATGACTATACGCTCTCACACACGCAACATTAAACAGCATAAATGAAAAAAATGTGTTTGTTCAGAAATAATATTAGAACTAATATGGAGAAAGAAAACCCATTTAAAATTCCAGTACAATACTATAAAACATTTTAAACCACATCAAAAAGTACAGATGTCTAGTCCACTGATGTAATATCACTTCAAACAAACATTTCACATGCTCTCTCAGCCTTTTCAGTGTTTTTACATGATCCACCCAAATATCTAACTGCTGTCTGGAACAATAGTTGGGAATTCTTCCAGATTACTAATCTTTCTAAATGTTAAAACAACTAATATGGAGCATAGATGAATAAAAAAACCTGTCCTGCATAATATACCATATGTTTTTAAATTGTATCCACATTACTGTAATAACATCACTCAATTAGTAATAATGACAAGGACTTTCCATTTATGTAACACCTTTTGTTTTGAAGATTTGGAAGTACTACACACGTCAACAAGCTATGTCACACAATTCTTCTTTGAGGTTTGTGCCATTATAAAACTACCAATGATATTTCTAACAAAAATCTTGTCTTAAATAATGTCATATAATAGCATTATTCATATTTCCATTATTAAATGGGGGTTTCACTTCAGAGAGAATTAAGTGATTCCAGAGAGCAACTTCTGTATTTTCTTTGTATATTCAGTGAAGACATCACAGAAGAGCTTTAATTGAAAAGTCTTGTTAAGTAATTCTACTTATCTTTTTGTATACATTAGCTCCCCATATCTTTGATATCTGAAACTATTAATTAAAAATCACTTTTTTGCAAATGGTTGATCAAAGTGTGGGAAGCTAGTGTATTTAACAACTCTGAGATAATTCAGTCACTAATTGCACTTGTAGACCTATAATTTAATGCATAATACAGGAGCATCAGTTCAATTATAAATTCCTGCAAAGGACTAATTTGATATAATCACATCTCATATGCATTATGTATAAATTATGAATCAGACCCTATTATATTAAAATAATTTTCTGAGCACACACTAGCACCTGCTTGTTATTTCTTCTTGTAATTTGTCAACTTCTGTTTGTACACAGCTGTTACATTAATTGTGACATTAAAAAGGAGAATTTTCTCTGCAACCCAGAGTACTGCATATGCAGTGAAACCGCACAACAAGTGGGGAGCCCTTATGTTTGCACCAAATCTTCCCAACTATCATACAAAACAGGAAGGCTCTGTACACATCACACTCCACAAACCTACGATATTAAAGACTCCTTTAAAATAAACACTTTAGTTTTTTAACATTAAAAGCATTTTACATTTACTGACAAAACAAGCAAGAAGAAAAACCTTGAGCTGGTGAGGGAATTACAAATTAAAATATACATAATGGCCAAAATTCTAAATATTGTTTATATTGTTCACCATCCCAGCTGTATTTAATAGGACTTGGTTAAATGAAGCATTTTTTTTAAACTTGTGGGTACTATTGGTTACATACTTTCCAAGCAAGCAAGCAAATAAATAAATGTTCAAGCACAAATTTGAAGCCTGTGTAGAATTAAGAACATATGCACATTAGAAAAACAGTTACACTCGGGGGGGGGAGCGTAGTCGGAAAATGGCGGGCGCATCTTTTTAGAGCTCCTAATCCCCTCTCCCAACAAAACAACAGAACAACGGCAATTCTTTAAAAAATCTTTCCACCAAGAATGGGACGAACCTACAAAATAAAAACGCAACCAAAGAAACAGGAATCGGGAATTTCTAAGGCCTTTTTTCAACCAAACACACCTTTAATATCAGAGATGATTAATATCAATCAACAAAAAAGACCTGTTGGATCTTAGAGAAGACCTTTTAAAATCTCTCACACAAGCTGTAGCCCATTTATTACAACCAGTAAGCAACAAGCTCACCGACTTGATGAAAGAACTTAAGGAGACAACTAAAATTGCTGAAAACAATGCAGAGCTCTGTACAACCTTCCAAGAAGAGATAAGACACTTGCAATCCTTTGAAGAGAGCACCAATACACGCTTGCTTGCCTTAGAAAACCGTTGGCATCAACACAACCTCAAATTTCATGGCTTTGAAGAGGGAGTGGAAGAAAACACTGACTTAGCCTCCTTTTTAGCTTCTTGGCTGGCACAAGCACTGAAAATGGAAGAAGGAATAGCACCAGCTATAACGCGAGCCTACAGATTAGGCCCCATGGCAAGAGCTAGCAAAGGTCGCCCAGGAGATATACTTGCTACTTTTCTCTATACCAGATCTAGAGACAAAATCTTAAGGGAAGCAAAACTA